CCCCAAAACCCCAAAACCCCAAAACCCCAAAACCCCTCCTTAACGTAAAACTATTGAAGCTAATAGCGAGATCTTTTATGCTTGCTGTGTCTTCTCTCATCACTGTAGGATCTCTTTCTTCTATGCTTCTTGGACTTCCTCTCTCTAGAGTCATCTCTTCTGTGATGCTTGTGTCTATCGGACCTGTGATGCCTTCTTTCGCGGCTGTCTCTTCTTCTGTCTCTGTCTCTGTGCCTGTCATCTCTCCGAGATCTGTGATGGTCATGGCTCTGTTGGTTACCATCTTTAGCCTGCTCGATGTCCTTCTTGAGTTGATATTCTTTGAAAAGTTCCTTTGCCGCTTCTTGAAATTGCTTTTTCTTAAATGTTGCCCATGATTTAGCGACCGATTGAGAGAAATCTACCTTGATTCTTCTTTCATCGATGTTGACGTTGTTCATTTTGAGGTATGCGTTGATTCATTCCTCTTCTTTTTCAAATTCTATGAAAGCATACTGCAAAGAGTCACCAGTTTTCCAATCTCGAACAACATTACAACTCTTGATTTCTCCAAATCTTCAGAAGATAGATTCTAGATCAGACTCCTGAGTCACAGGGTTTAATTGGCAAACAAAGAGCACATTCTTAGGAGGCTCAATTTCAGCTTCAGGAAGATCACCTAAGATTTCGAGCACATGAGCTCTAGATTTCGCTATTTTTCTTTGAGTAAATTTCTCAATTTCTTCCTCAGTTCCCCCCTCAGTCATTGATAGAAGTTGCTTCAAATCAACATTATCATCAACAAATTTGGCTTCTTCATCATTATCAAGGTTCCTTTTCGGCTCAGGAGATTGGGATGGAGTTCTAAGCCCCTCTGGGTTATCAAATGGATCATCAATAATAAGGATATGCTTGATTCTTATAGCCTGATATGGTTCTCCCTTGTCATCAACAGTTTGCCCATCTTTGTCCATCAACAAAGCATCATTTATTGCTTCCAGTACATTGTCTCCATCCACCACTTCTCCAAAAATAGTGTGCTTGCCATCAAGATAAGGAGCTGGCTCATCTGAAAGAGTAATGTAGAACCCAGATTCGTTCCTATGAGGTCCTTTATTAGAAGTTGCAAGTAATCCTTTCTTATTGTGCCTGATTTCTTTTGTAGTTTCGTCCTCAAAATACCTCCTTTCGGCATTTACTTGTAGTGAATAATCTATATCTGAGAAATACTCCGGCTTTTTCTCTAAACTTGAGAAAACATCGAGAAGTCCATAGATACTTCACCCTCCTTTCCCTGAGTGAGAGGGATCTCCAGTCTTTGCCAAGAAGTTTTTATGGACTTCATAAAATCTTAAGTCATTATAATATTTAGCTTTAGCAAGTTTCAAGAAATTCCTTGTCGCATTAGGACACTGGTCTGTATATAGATCAATCTCTAAATCCCCCAGCGAAGTTTCAATAATTATTGACATTTCTATTTCAATATTATTCTAATTATTAGGGGTTTTGGGGTTTTGGGGTTTTGGGGTTTTGGGG